CCTATGCCATTCATATACATATATATATATATATATATATATATATATATATACAGTTAGTGGACAATCTCATGCAACAAGTTAAAAAATGCAATAAAAGTCATTTTGTGGGAAGTCAGCTTACGCGGCGTGCGCCCAAACTAATATAGCATTAAAGGTAGAACTATAAGTAGAAAAAATTCAGAGTTTGGTTGAGAAATTACTATTTACTAGCATAGAAAAATGAATTTTCACAAAAATTTTCTAATGCAAGAAATGGCAATATGAAAATATACTGGTCAAATGTGAAATAAAAGTGTGTTTAAGGTGTAGAGCATTTATCACTACAAATATATAAAACGTCTTAACGCAAACGCAACGGAAAACTTTCTAGGATTGGCTAACTACTAGTGAGTAATTTACCAGACAATTCTAGTGTAAAAGTTGTAAAAACGATGTACGAGAATGACGATGAAGATTAAGAAATGATACAACTCACTTAGATCCTTCCCGATCCTTGCCAGCAGTAGTCAAGAAATCGACTTGCCAAAGGATAACTTCGTGAAGACCGGGATCCTAGTTCGTCGAGTCGCAGTCGTGAGATTTGAGACAAATCTCGTTTGTAAATCGCTGTTGGATTCCCCTGAGCCCGGGAATGATCACCAGAGAATGGTGTCGTTGAAGGGCGAAAGAAACAACGGCAGGTGAGGAGAGAAATTGAGCTGTGGAGTGCTGTAAGCAAGAAAATTGCTAGCGAAGAGCACGCCGTAAGAACCGAAAGTGATGTATTCGAGTTAAAACAAAAATTGGAAAATTGATAAATTTAAACAACGTATAGGTTGAGCTAAGGGCCCACAAATGCATGGGAATGGAAAAGGATGGCAAGGTATTACAGAATAAGTACGAATACAAAATTTTTATAAACTTAATTTGGCGAGAATGATATGTGAGGCCAAGACGATATTGAGAAACCAAGGTCCTCCTGTCTTACGGTCACCTGGTAATAGGGGGTTATAAGGGTGGGGCAGTAAACTGAGAAGCTGTAGACGGCGATAACTGAAAATAATAACAGGAATAAGAGCCAAAAACGAACGGTTGTTTTAATAAGAAAATAAAGAAGGCCGAAGGATATAGGTAGGGGAACATAAGCGCAAAGTTAATGCTATAGTGACAGAAAAGTTAACCGGGAAGCATGCTATTGGTGCGAATAATCAGGGAACTGAATA